TGTCTGGGAAGCAGGGTAAGCATCCAGGTGAGTGAGAGAGATGAGCTGAGAGACCAGGGAAAACACAGGAATTAGGTCCAGTATACTGCCCAGTGATGGGAGATGCTTGAACCCATATAGCAAAAGCTTTATGAACTTTCTAGTTTAACTTTGATCTCATAGGTAAAGATCTAAGTTTGACAAGAGGATATACAAGCTTTCACTTAAGAAGCCAGGAGTAAAAGCAGTGAAACTCAAAATAAGCAGAAGAGAGGAAATAATGAAGATAAAAGATGAAGTAAATAAGATGGAAAATGGACAAATAGAAAAAATCAATGAAACAAAAAGCTGGTTCATCAACAAGATCAATAAAATTGATACAAATCTGTAGCTAGCTTAATCAAGAAAGAAAAACACAAATACAACAATATTAGAAATACAAACAATATCAGAAAAGAAAGGACATGATTACAGATAATAAGGAAATAACAGCAAATAGATAATAAGGAAATATTATTGTTACAGGTTGAAATGTCTCCTCCAAAACGATATGTTTAAGTCCTAACCCTTGTACCTATGAATGTGACCATATTTGGAAATAAGGTCTTTGTAGATGTAATTACCTTAAGATGAGGTCATTAGAGTGGGCCCTAACCCAATATGACTGGAGTCCTCATAAGAAGAGGAAGCTGCATGTAAAGAGAGAGAGACCCATGGGGAGAATGCCACGTGATGACAGAGCCAGAAATTGAGGACTGCAGCTGCAAGCCAAGTGACACCAAGGATTGACAGCCTCCATCAGAAGCCAGAAAGAGGCAAGGAAAGATTCTACCCAGAGTCTCAGAGGAAGCATGCTGACACCTTGGTGATGGACTTCTGTCCTCCAGAATAGTGAGAGAATCAATTTTGGGTTTTTTAAGCCATCAAATTCGTGGTGCTTTGTTACAGCAGTCCTAGGAAACCAATACAATGAAAAACAATATGACAATAAATTTGACAGGTTAAATAAAATAGACGGATTTCTTGAAAGACAAAAATTTTCAGAATTGACAAGAAACAGAATGCCTAAATAACCCTAAGTCTATTAAAGAAATGGTATTCTTTTTTATAATTTTTTTTTAAAATAGTTATTCTTTTTTTTTTTTTAAGATTTTATTTTTTCCTTTTTCTCCCCAAAGCCCCCCAGTACATAGTTGTAGATTCTTCGTTGTGGGTCCTTCTAGTTGTGGCATGTGGGACGCTGCCTCAGCGTGGTTTGATGAGCAGTGCCATGTCCGTGCCCAGGATTTGAACCAACGAAACACTGGGCCGCCTGCAGTGGAGCGCACAGACTTAACCACTCGGCCACGGGGCCAGCCCCCAAGAAATGGTATTCTTAATCAAATACCTCCTCCCAAAGAAAACGTTAGACCCAGACTATTTCACTACTAAATTCAATCTAACATTTAAGCAATGAAAATACAAATTCTATCCCCATAAAATAGATGGATATTCAAAAATAGCCCAAATGAATACATAAGGGCATTGTTTCTCCAATACTGTAAACATAAAAGACCTTTTAAAAAAGAAAATGACCAATATCTATGATGAATATAAAAACAAAATTCCTTAACAAAATATTACCCATGCAAATCTAGCAATATATTACAAAAAAGATGATAAATTCAGCATGACCAAGTGGATTTATCCAAGAAGTGTAAGTTTTCCTTAACACTGATAAATCAGGGTCTGGCCTGGTATTGTAATGGTTAAGTTCATGCTCTCCACTTCAGTGGCCTGAGCTTTGTAGGCTCAGATCCTGGGCGTGGACCTACACACTGCTCATCAAGCAATGTTGTAGCTACTTCTGACATAGAAAATGGAAGAAGATCAACACAGATTTTAGCTCAGTGACAATCTTCTCCAAGCAAAAAGAGGAAGATTAGCAAAGGCTGTTAGCTCAGGGCCAATCTTCCTCACCAAAAAAAAAAACAAAAAAAAAAATCAATTAACATGATTCACTATAATAAGTAATTCAGAAAGAAAATCTATATAATTATCTCAACAGATGTTGAAAAATTATATGAGAAAATTCAACTCCCAGTCATGATGAAAGCCTCAGTCAATAAGAATAGAAGCTAATTTCCTCAACATGATAAAGAGGATCCACAAAAACCCTACAGCTGACCTCACCTAATACTGAAAGACCAAATGCTTTTCTTCATAAGACTGGGAACAAGTTGTGGGGGACTGGCATTGGCCACCCCAAGATATGTCTCTTTGGCATGAGGATAATTTGGGGCTGGGACAGGGAAGGAGGCTCTGAGGAATGGAACTTGCTTACCCTTTGTTAAGAAACACTTACATTTGTAGGGGAAATCTCCATCTGTAAAGCTGCCTCCCTCTCTATACCAGGAAGAAGAAAGGGGATGACCTTATCTCTAGAAACTCTTAATCAATGCCAAAGGCAAGGACTTAAATCTGCATAATAACTTTATTCCTGTTTCTGGTAACCTCCTGTAACTGACTGCCCCCACCCCCAGCATCCTCCTTTGTCGTTAGCTGGATGTGATATTTAAGGTGAGGGCTTCAGCAATTTGGGGAGTTGCTCAGCTTGCCTGAGCCTCTCCTGTGTATGCATGTTATAAAGCTTTGTTTAATTTTCTCCTGCTATTCTATCTCATGTGAATTTAATTTTTTCTCCAGCCAGATGAACCCAGAGAGGGTAGAGGAAATGTATTCCTCTCCTACAAAGTCAAGGATGCCTATCTATCATCACTTCTCCTCAACATTGTCCTCAACCAGGTCCTAGCCAGTACAATAAAAGCAAGAGAAAAAATGAAGGAAAGGAAAAAGCAAAACTTTCTACACATCATAGGACATGATTATGTACATCAAAAAGAAATATCCTAAAGAATCTACAAAACAAAAATGGAAATAAGTAAATTTAGCAAGGTGAGAGGATATGAGGTCAATTTACTAAAACCAATTTTATCTTTATAAACTAACAACAAATAATTTGAAAAAAATGTTAAATGCCACTTATAATAGCATCAAAAATATAAATTTAACAAAATATGTATAAGATCTATAACCCGAAATGTATCACATTGTTGAGAGAAATCTAAAAAGACCTAACGAAATGAAGAGAGAAATCATGTTCATGAATGGTAACACTCAACATTGTCAAGATGGCAATCCTCCCAAATTAATGTACAGATTCAATGCTGTCCCAGGCAAAATCTCATGAAGCATTTTTGAAGAAATTTGGAGAAAACTCAACATCCTAGAATGGCCAATATAGTTTTGAAAAAGAACAAGTTTGGAGGATTAGCACTTCTGATTCCAAGGCTTACTATAAAGCTATGTCACTGAGACAGTAGGTATTACCGCAACAATAAGCACATAGATCACTGAGACAAAACAGAGAATCCAGGAATAGACCTGCACAGATATGGTCAACTAATTTTCTACAAAGGCACCAAAGTAATTCAATGGAAGATAGGGAAGTCCTTTCAACAAACTGTGCAAAAAAGTGGACGTCTATATGAAATAATAGTAAGCCTCAGCCTTTTTCTCACACACAAAAATTAACATGAAATGGGTATAGGTTAAACATGTAAGTTAAAACTTTAAAACTTCTAGAAGCAAACATAAGATAAAAATCTCTGTGACCTTAAGGTTGGCAAGATAGGACATAAAAGCACAAAAAAAGAAGAAAATGATAAATCAGACTTCATCAAAATTTTAAAACTTCTACTTCTTGAATGACACCATTAAGAAAATGAAAAAGGAAGACATAGACTGGAAGAAAGTATTTGCAATACATATATACATATAGATATTGTAGGGGAGGAAGACATTTCCTCTATCCAAATGTGGGTTCGTCTAGCCGGAGAACGAATTAAATTCACATGAGACAGAATAGCAAGAGAAAATTAAACAAAAGCTTTATGAGGAACCATGGCCCGGGCCTTTCTTCCCGAAGGAAGAAAGGGCACAGAAGAAGTGGGGTGCACAGAGTGGTTATATACCCCCAAACAGGGTGTTTCACATATGATTGAAATGTCCCTCCCACAATAGTCACAAGATTGCCCTGTAGGCACAGCACTTGATGGGCACAGCAGATAGTGGGTCTGCTATCTCGGTGGGCGTAGCAGGAGGCAATTCTATTGTCTAGAGCTGGGTGGTCACAGGTGAGCGCAGCAATCAGTTCCTAGCCTAAGGAAAGATGCTTAATCCTAAAGGAAATGCCAACGTTGGGAGGGGGAGGGATGTCAGTTACAGGAGGTTACCAGAAACAGGAATAAGATCATTATGCAGATTTAAGTCCTTGCCTTTGGCATTAAGAGTTTCTAGAGAGAAGGTCATCTCCTTTCTTCTTCCTGGTACAGAGAGGGAGGCACCTTTACAGATAGAGATTTACCTTACAAAAGTAAATGTGTCCTAACAAAGGGCAAGTTCCATTCCTCAGAGCCTCCTTCCCTGTCCCAGTTTATCAAAAGCAATCAGCCTCAAATAATCCTGATCCCAAAGAGACATATCTTGTGGTGGCCAATTCCAGACCCCTACAATATATACATGTATCTAACAAGGGATTTGTATCCAAATTATATAAAGAACTCTTACAACTCTGTAAGACAACAGACAAACCCAATTTTCAAAAAAGATTGAACAGACACTTCAATGGGCAAAAGGTTAAACAGACACTTCACAAAAGAGGATACACAAATGGCCAATAAACACATGAAAAGATGCTCAATGTCATTAGTCTTAAGGAAAATGCAAAATAAAAACCACAATGAGATACCATTACACCAACCATAATGAGTAAATGTAAAAAGCCTGACAATATCAAGTGTTGGCAATGATATGAAGCAACTTGAACTCTCATATGTTGCTACTGGGAAAATAAAGTAATGCAACCACACTGGAAAACAAACTAGAAGTTTCTTACAAAATTAAACATGCACTTACCATAAGATTCAACAATCAAATTCCTAGGTATTTAATAAAAAGAAATTAAAACACATGTCCACACAGAGACTTGCACATGAATGTTCATGGCAGTTTTATTCGTAATAGCCAAACACTGGAAACACAGCAAATGTCCATAGGTGGATGAACAAATTGTGCTATATCTTTACAACGGAATGCTACTCAGTAACAAAAAGAATGAACTAATGATACATGCAAGAACATGAACTAATTTGAAAAACATGCTGAGCAAAAAGAAGCCAGATACAAAAGAGCACATGATGTAGGAAATTCTATAATAGGCAAAACTAATTGATAGTGACAGAAAACATAGCACTGCTTGCCTGGGACTGGGTGGGTGGGGAGGAGCAGAGAAGAGTTTTGGAGGTGAGGAAAATGTTCTATGTCTTGATTTGTTGATATTTAAGTGGTGTATACATTTGTTAAAAACCCATTGATCTCATGATTTAAAATAGATGTGTTTTATTGCATTAAAGCATAATTCAATAAAGTTAATATTTAAAATGTTAAGGTCAAGAAAAACAAGGAAATCACGAAGAACTATCCCAGATTAAAGGAGACTAAAGTGACATCACAACTAAATGTATTGCATGATCCTGAACATGGAGGAGAAACACCTATAAATGACATTGTGGGGGCAGTTGACAAAATTTGAATAGGGATTATAGATGAAATCATAGTACTGTAGAAATGCTAAATTCCCTGATTTTGATAATTGTACTATGTTTATACAAGACATAGTCCTTGTTCTTGTAAAATATTTAGACAAAGAGACATAATGTCCTCAATTTATTATCAAATGGATCAGCGAGGAGAGAGAAAGAGAACTGCCAAGTGCAGCTAAAACAAAATAGAAACAAATGGTAACTATGGATAAAGGTTATATGAGAGCTCCTTGTATGATTGTTTTAACTATTCGATAAGTTTGAAATTATAGTAAAATCAATCAATATTTTTTTTTAATGAGAGGTAAGCATCTAGATTAGGGGGACACGGGGGAGGAAAACTACTTTTTAGTTCGTAATTGTGCTCTCTCTCAAAGCCTGAGGCTATTGAAATGATTTAGCCTATCTATGAGGAAAAGACCTAGCTAGTCTCTTTATCAGAGTTCTCTAATTGGCTCTGTGGCTGGTTCAGGGAAAGAGAAAGAGAATTTTGCAGGGTCATTAAAGAGAGGGGTAACTGCTTTCCAAAGACAAAATCTTCCCCTTTTCCCCAAGAAGACAGATGGCATCTGATCTCCTAAATCATGGTCCAAAAGAGCATTTTCTTCCTCTTCCAACTCATCTCTCTTTACACAATGGAACAAGTCCTGCTGTTAAAAACATTAATTTGTAAGTAATCACAAATTATCATAGGAAACAAACAAAAGAATGACAAAAATCCATTTCACCTTTTCTTCTGTGTCAGTTGAAGTGGGGCATTTAAAACACAATCAATTCTCTTCTCACAGATGCAATTATAGGGGGCAGAGCAATCAGTATTTGCTATTCTTGTTGAGGTTAAAAATGCACATTTTCCTTCTCTCTCAGGAAGCAAACTCATTATTGCAGAGTTACTGTAGAACAGAAAACATACATGGTGGACTGTTGAATTCTGAAGCTGACAATAACATAAATCATAATCTTTTTAAGTCTGTTGCCTAAAGATCTGGAATATGGAAATGTTAATCATAACTTCATCACTAAAAGATTTTCTTTCACTTTTGCCTCATTAACTAGAATAACAGCCTATTGATCACACCCATAATCTTCCATTTTATTGCCCACTAAGAATTTCTGTTCAGAAGGCAAAATTACCCTGCAATATTGCTATGGGATCTTGATAAATAGCAAACCGGCTTTCTTATGCTAATTTTTTCAATAAAATTGAGAGATTAAAAAGAACTGAATTTCTATGACAAAGATAACCAGTTCTTGTGTGCATATACGTTAAGGAGAAAAAAATAGAATTGGAATATAGGTAGAGATGAGGTTGTTTAATGGATGTCTTTATTCATTTTCTTTCTTTTCCTTCCCTACCCTATAGCTAATAATTATTAGCTAAAACATAACCAATTGAAAAATATCTAAAAGCAGGACTTCTATCTCAGCAAAGTGGTGGATTAGATATCGGAACTATCTTCCTATTGAAACAATTAATAATGATGAATAAAAAAAATTTAAACCTTGAATAAATTTATGAACTGGCAAGAAACAAATTCATACTCAGGCTGACGGTTAAGTAAAAGTGGGAACCCAGAAGGGTAAGTGAAGCTCTGAAGTCGATTTTTCCCTTAATTGATGTAGTAGGCTGAATAATGAATTCCACCCAAGATTCTAAATAGAAGACAAGCTACCTAGAGTGAAGACCTAAAAGGGATATATCTTCAGTATAAACCACCGAAGAACTTTCTTGAATCTTGAGAAGAGAAACAGAAGAGAAAAAGATTAATCTCAACTAAGAGTTCAAAATCTTATCATCAAAATCACCATCCCTCATGTAGTCTGCATTTGCTTTATTATTTAAGAATATTCAAATCTGCTACAGGAATAAAGAGAAATAAACAAGGAAGATAAATGAAACTAAATAGCTCATGAGGCAGAGGTGGAACACATAAGCTGTGTTAAGTACGTATAAGTAAGTAACCTATGAGACAGGTTAAGTATAGATACAGTAAGTAGAACATGTGTGTGCTGATCATGTGAAAGGAAGAAAGAGCGACTTAGACACTAAATATAATACTCAAAATATACTCAGTGCACATAGATACTCAACATCCATGAGATCTTAAGGTCCCCAACCAATGGTGACACTCATTCTGGCCCTCTGCCTAAGAAACTCAAATAAAACCCATGCTCCTAAGGTTGATTAGAAAACTGCTGCTGTGGCCCGGCTTGCATGCTCCTACATCTTCCCAATAGAGAAAATGTTCATGCTGCCCTCAAGAACCTTCTGTCTGTTGGGCCCCTTTACTCAAACCTCAAGTCTGGTGCTAGAAACCTTCAGCAGGGAAGGGGTATGCAGCATAGAGAGCCAGGCCACATGAAGATTGCATGACCCAGGACTCAGTTGATCCTTTCACCCACTTGCACCTTGTCCTAGATGGCAACCTCGCCCATCCCACCCAAGTGTGAGAGCTAAAGAAATGGGATACATTTCTTTCCCCTTGCAGAGTGCAATGAGTTTTAAATTGATTTAATTAATCATGCAATTTGAGCTTGTTAATTTGGCTCATGAGCCTTTTTGTTCTGTGACCTCTGAGATTGTTGGCCTGAAAGTGTACTTAGAGGCTACAATTACATTAAGGTAATTTCCTGCATGACATGTTTTGTAGGTTTGCAGCCCAGAACTAGACTTACAGGGCCCATATCTAGAATTTAGAATCAGTGGCCCTGATTCATAGTGCCCCAAGGAATCCAATCTTGAAGAAGTCACCTTCATCTCAATCCTTGAATAATTTCCACAGCAGATCAAAAAGGGAAACAAAAATCACTAAACACTGTGAAGAAAATGGCAGATGAACAAAAGCCAGCAGAAACAACAGAGTGGACTCACAAAACTTCAAAGACAAGAATGATCAGATACCAAATACAAAATAAGAACAATTACTGTCTTTCAAGAAATAAAAGACAGTGTGAAAACATGAGTAACTAGCAAGAAGATTTGGAAACATAAAATAGAATTTCTACAAATAAAGAATATAATATGTCACCTAGATTTTTAATAAATCATTGAACAGTTTAACAGCAGATAATAATTAAATGTAAACTCAAGAGTTTACAAAATATTGCACTTCAAAACAGAAGAACTATGGTGAAGGTATATGTGCGTGTGTATATTCACAAATATTTATATTTATAAATTATATAAACTAATAATTTAAAGGAGTTTCAAATGAATTTTGGGGATATTCAAAATATCCATTGGAGGTTGTCGATGGGATCACTATGACTAAGTCAGGATGATCCAATCTCTTCATAGCACTTTATGATTTTGTTTTATTTTGTGTACCTCAGAACACATCCTTCTGAGTATGTGTTTTGCACCATAGTCTTATTATTGTTAATAACTCTGTAGTACACATCTCATCCTTTTTAGCAATACTTTCTAAAACACTTTCTTAATCATTCTACTTATTCTTACCAATGACCTCTGCTTCAAAACGAGTTAACCTGTGCAAAATAAGAGAAGATTCCTTTCAGATACAGTCCTTACAAGGCCAAAACCAATATCAGAGTTTGGATGCATTCCAAAGACTTACGTTCCAGGAGACGTGCCATTGTCGATCCATTTCCACTTACTTTCCTTTTCATTGTATGAGAATCCAATCCAGTAGCTATCTCCATAAGTCTGGGGTTGAACAAAGTCCTATTAAGGAAACAAAACATATTATGTGACTAAATTCCAACTTGTTCAAGAATGAAAAGAAGGACAGGTAAAGGGCCCAGCTGTTTCTCTGGCAAGTACTCTGCTCCTCTCTACATCATCCTTCATCTCTCCTTCCTAGAAAACCTTCTCTCCTCTCACTCTCTGTGTTTTCATTTTTCAAAGTACTTTTCTCCAGGATTATTTAGTTATGTTAAAGATGGCTGCTAGTCTCATAGATTATTTAAAACATGGAAAAATTTAAAATCTAAATATCTAACAATAGAAGAATTATTAAACAATTTATGACAGTTTATGAAACTATTCAACATCAGGCTCCAGAAAAATACTTACAGATGTAGAAAAATGATCATTACATATTCTTAAGCGAAAAAAGGAATCTTCAAAACAAATTTATTAAAACAACAAGTGTATGTGGAGAGATGTGCCTTAGAGGCTTTAGCCTCATCAGAGAAAGCCTTGCTGGAGTTCAGTAATTGGAAGTGGTGAACGGAAAAAGGGAAGTATTTGGAAATATTTATACTCCAAAAATGTACATCAAAGTGATATATTACATAATATCTGATTAAATGACAGAATGTATTTTAAAATATAAGCTTAAATTTAACTGTGTTTTACTGCAACAAACATAAAAAGTTATTTTATGACTTGATATCATAAATTCTTTTGTAATTTAAAGTATCTATTAGATTTGCATATAAACTTTGTGTTGTTTTCCTAAATGATAAACAGAAGTTTCAGGCTGATTTTTGCAAACATTTCTGTATAAAAACACATTTTGTATGTGGATAGTCTTTATTAGTAAGAGATTAAAAACAAAATTTTAATATTGTTGTCACTGTATTTTCTCTTTATATAATTCTTTTTGAAAGATATATATCTTGATGTAATATATAAGAACATTGAACAAGTAAATGTTACCTACAGATGCAATGAAAATCACTCTAAAGATAATTTGTAAAACTGTTATCACTTTTATCTTCCTCATTATTATCTCCTTTTTGCCAATGGGAAAACTGGGGCCCAGAGTTATTTACCCAGGTAAATTTACCCAGGTTAGACAGCCAGTAAGTGGCAGAACTGGATTTTACCCTAGGCAGTCTGGCTCCTATATTCCTAATAGTAACTATGACACTATGTTGACCCCGGGTTCTTAGTTGCCAGTTTGTAGGGAACAATAACTGATGGTTCCAGGCTGCAATTTACCAAAGGATTAAGTACTTCATTAAAGGAAAAGCATATTTCTCTGTGAGCAGGTCTCCTGCAGATTCTCAGAGAGGGAGATGATTACAAAGACCCAAACTGCACCTTCAAAGGCGTTTCCAATTTAGAAATAATAATGGTCATCAGGATAGATAATATGAATTGAATGCTCGATAAGTAACAAGATCATATGCTATTAGCAGGCAGGAGTCTCCCGGGAGACTGTGCGCAATTTTTGCTCACTCAACAGACACAACACAGAGAATAACTGAAGGTGCCTTTTCTGGACTCCCCCCTGTCCTGGATATCTTGGGTCCAAGAATGAGAGACAGTCTAAGAGAATAAAAGTGAATGTAACAATCCATGATACCAGTTCATCTTTATCATCTATCTTCAAAAGAGATAAATTGTAACATTGGCAAGTCTTTTGACATCCTGTCCAGCTTTCCTTTTTAGTGGTAAAATAATAGCAGTTTACTCCACAACAGGACCAGCGGTCTTCATTTAGTTTGCCTGCAATGTATAAGGTGAAACATTAAACTTCTTGTCCTCTGGTATTTTGTGAAGCAGAGTATTATATTTATCATCCCTCTATAAATAAATTCTTAATTGCTATCAATAATGATAATATGAGGTTAATAAATATTCTGGAAACCAAGAGAAATCTGCACTTCCACATTCACTGCAGCATTATTCACCCTAACAAAGACATCGAAACAACCTGCATGTCCATCGATGGATGATTCGATAAAGAAAATGTGTTTTAGACATAGACGGGATATTATTTAGCTTTAAAAAGAAGGAAATCCTGGCATATACAAGAGCATAGATAAACCTTGAGGATATTATGCTAATAACAGTGAAATAAGTCAATCACAGAAGAACAAATACAGCATGATTCCACTTATATGAGATATAAAAAATAGTCAAACTCAGAGGAACGGGAAGGGTAAAATGGTGGTTGCCGGGGCTGGAGAGGGGTAGGAGCAGGGGATTGAGGAGTTGTTGTTCAGTGGGTGTACAGTTTCAATTAGGCAAGATGAATAAGCTCTAGAAATCTGTCAGACAACATAAGGCCTACAGTTATTAATACTGAATTGTGCACTTAAAAACTTGTTAAAAGGGTAGATCTCATATTAACTGTTCTTACCACAAAAAATAAAGGAATATGAGGAAACTTTTGGAGATGATGGATATGTCTATTACCCTAATTGTGGATGATTTAAATGATATATGCACAGGCCCAAACACATCAAATTGCATGCATTAAATATGTGCAGTTCTTTGCATAATAATAATACCTCAATAAAGATGCTATAAAAATAATAAATTAAAATTCAAAAAATAGATTCTTGAATACCTTCTGAAGTCAAGGCAGGATGGAAATACACATACAAACACAATTATCTTTACAACAGCATCCACATTAAAGGCTTTGTGCCCATTTTAGCCTAAGTATATTTTTACTGATAGCCTCCACATTTCACATCAGCAACAAAGTGGGAGTGTCTAATTTGCCCACAGTTCCAAAAGGATCCAAATTTTCAGGGGAGCTGACATACTATTTCACATTCTGGGAAGAGGAGAAATGCAACAACTGCCGTTGAATTTTGGGAACCATAAGGTTCTGCTAATCCCAACATGTCTTCTGGGGTCTTCATCCCATATTTGAAACAAGTAACCCGAATACCCACACCACACTAAGAGGCACAAATTAGAGTTGTTTAGTAGACCTGCATCACTAGCACATATCCTCAGCCTCTTATTAGGCCTCAAAGCTTCTGGAGGGGGAAGAAATAATGAAAAATCATGCTGTCTTTCACTCATGATTTCTGCTATACCTGTATTTTGCAGAGACTTTGAAAAGATCCCCTGTTTTCGATGGCAGCTCATCTTTGCTTTAGAGAGTGACTCCAGGTCCTTCTTCAGCTGAAGATTTTCATTTTTGAGAATGTCATATTCTAGAGTCTTATTTGTCAAAAGTTGCTCCTTTAGGTAATTGTCCTTTTGTATAATGTTGTACTTTTGACTGAAGTTTTGTGGAATTTCCTCCTGTTGAGGTTTTTCTTGAATACGCTTAAAAACTAAAATTAACAGTATAGATATAACACAAAACAGTACTCATAATGTTTAAATGTTGAAATTTAATACAAGAGAAAAAGTCTCACTTTGACAACCAACTCATTTCATTACTTTAATTAGGAATTTGACATTTAGAAAGTAACACCTCAATGAACTGCCCACAGGAATTGACACATCAAATTTCTCACTATTAGCAACTTAAGCATAGCATAAATAAAATAAGATATCTGAATAAAATTATAATGGTAACCCCTGATAGTTCAGTTTAGTTTCTTGTTAACAGTTAGCACATCATTTACAAATAAATACAAAAGTAAAAATCAGTCAATCAACCTTTAGCAACACATCTTCTGAGTATGAAAATCTGCACTAAGAAACATGAAGAAACAGCCCCAGTATTATTGGACTAGATGGAACATCCAGAGAAGAAAAAGGAGGAAGATCTAAATATGTAATTTTACCTGAGTGAATCATAAGAGTGATTTTCTCTAAAGATGTCAAGGAATTCAAATAAAAGACAAAGGTTGAATTCAAGATCATCTAACATCCATGTGCAGAATCACTCTTTTTACTAAATTATTTCTTTATTGTATACTTCGAAAACATCAAGGGAAAGTCATAATTTCTTTCTTTTTTTTTTTTTGATGAAGATTAGCTCTGAGCTAACATCTGCCACCATTCCTCCTCTTTTTGCTGAGGAAGACTGGCCCTGAGTTAACATCCATGACCACCTTCCTCGACTTTATATGTGGGACGCCTGCCACAGCATGACCTGACAAGCAGTGCAAAGGTCCGCACCCCAGATCCAAACCGGCGAACCCCGGGCTGCCAAAGCAGAACACTCGAACTTAACTGCTGTGCCACCGGGCAAGCCTCCATAATTTCTTTTGAAGAGCTGTTGTTAAAAGAATGTTTAGCCAAGATTCACAATCATCTAAAGTCAGAGGGCAGAATATTACTAAGTCCTGTATCAGAAAGAATGTTACCGTGTATTACACAGAATGAGAAAGCTCATTACAGATGAAGTCATTGGAATAGGTAAGTAAAATGAAAATGACATTGTGATGTGTCTAAGGAAAAATCACAAAAAAAGAGCCACCTGGGACATTGCCTGATTATAGCCAAGGAACAATTGTTGGAGCATGGTTAATATCGGCATAATTAGTGGTTACTGCTATTACTCAGACTTGAAGGATACAGTTCAATTACTCACTGTTTGTCCCCAACACTATGACCGTCACCAAAAGAAGTAAACAGAGGATCCCAAGAGTCACTACCAAGAGATGCCAGGGCACTGAAAACTCTTGAAATAAAGAAGGAAGAAGATAATCGTTAGGAGTAGTCTGGCCCACTACTCACCTTAACCTAGGACAACATTTGGAACAAAAAGATAATCTTCTCTAAAATTTTTTCAAAAATATATCATGCAAATTGATTTAAATTTGTGATCTCGTAATTACAGTTTTAAAGTTTTCAATTTACGACTGACATACACTCATTGTAGAAATGTTACACACAAGAACAGTCCTATAGGATTTTAAAAGTACATCCCTTATAACAGCACAGATAACAACAGACACAATACACGTTTATAAGGATCTACACTGACATGTATACTCCTTCCTGTGATCACAATCATGAAGAGCAAGGACAAAGCAGTCAATATTCCTGAGAAATTGGTGGCCAATAGAGGCTATTCTGAAGCTGCAAATGTGATTTGGGTTCATCCTTAAAGGAGTTTCTAGCAATCAACTTTCTTTTCCATCAGTTCTGTTTGTTACTCTATTTATCCTCCTAATTTTGAGGTCTTCAGTTTCTGAAGGTTGAATCTCTGTCACTAGATTAAACAAGTAAAAGTTATTCTCAATTTAGAGTTTGTGACAATATTTGAGGAGAGAGAGAAAGAAAAGTTAGACTGCTCCTTTTGGTTTGAACATTTTTGTTACTTCATTGCCATTAGGTTTCGTAAGCATTTAAGACACTTAAAATATCATTTCTGTGAATAAAAACATTGTTTCTAAAGCACATTTTTCATGTCTCATTCGTTAAAGACTTTATTTGTCTAGTGAATGAAATCTTTTCTTGAGACTCTAGTCTGTCCTTTACCTTTTATTTTTTTTGGAAACATTTGCTCTGACCTAACTTCGGTTGCCAATCTTCCTCTCTCTCTTTCTTTTTACTCTCCAAAGCCCCTGTACTTAGTTGTATATTCTATTGCAAGTCCTTCTAGTTCTTCTGTGTGAGCTGTCACCACAGCATGGCTACTGACAAATGAATGATGTGGCTCCATGCCCGGAAACCAAACCTAGACGGCCAAAGCAGTGCAAGGTCGTCTTGGCTGGCTCTGTCCTTTACTTTTAAAGGCCTCGTGAATTCCTCTTAAACAAATTTGAATGAAAACATTCTATTAGCTTCTTAAATTTAAAAGAATTCATTAATTTCTCTGTTCTCACAAACTTTAAAAAATCAATCTCGTTCTACTAGTCTACACAGTTATGATTTCATATTAACATCTGAGAACCTAAAGTACAGATAGGAACACTTTCTTCAAAACTCTAAAGTTTGAGAATCCATAAAAGATAGGTGTATCTAGATGCTTAAAACATATACCTTTGTCATCATCTTTCCCAGGCCTTTGAGTACTGCCAGGCCTCAATCGATTTTGTGACTGTGAAGGAGCCTGAAGAAATCTCAAGGAGGAATAAGTCACTTCTTGATTGCTCATGTCTAGAATAAGAAGAGAAATATGTTTTGCATTAAAAGTTTGCAACAGGAGTATTTCTGTCTAAAGAAAAATGAAAATGTCAGCCTATAGGAACCTACCCAGGATTAAGAGGTATGTGTGTATATCTGTGTGTGTATGGGGGGGGGGTGGTGTGTTTATCAACTCCTTTAAGCACCTAAAGCTCGTAGACTGAGTGTGATTTATATAAGAAATGGATAACATTTCCATATCTCTGATAAAGCTATTTATGCCCATAGTGATTACTGCCATAATTATTAAAAAATACAGAGAGAGTTTTTTAAAAACCTACCAATAGATTGAATATGCTGGGTCCTATTGCCCCAGTCAATATAGCTCAAAATGTTCAACATACATATACAAATGTTAGGCAGAATTGGTACCATCCCAAATTACTGACATACTTTTAAAACTATCAATTCAAAACACAAGAATTCTGTGTCTTTGAAATTCTGAAAAAATATAAATATCTTCATTTAAAGAAACTGAAAATATATGTTCTGATATGCATACAAGTATTAAAAAGTTCTTGCATTCTCTTTAATTACAACAAGACTCTACCAGAGTGTTTCCCAAAGTGTATCCCATGCACCATCTGCTAAACAATTACTGAGGTTAATACTGCAGATTGGTTAACATCATACATTCCAATGACCCATGCAAGATGTGTTGAATAAAAGTCTCTTAAGTTGGAGCCTAGACACTTGTATTTTTAATCCCCCAAAATTCTATGTATATTAAAATTTTAGAAATAGTCTTCTAGTGTATGATGTTGCCAGAGAAGGCTATGTGAAAATAAAATTTGTCAGTGGGCAGTCATTAGTTAATATCCATAAAGTATTCAATCTATTAATGGATACTAATATAAAAAGAAATTTTTAAATAATATATATTTAAAATTTACCTTGCTGTTTATATTAATCATTGGGAAAAGATGATATCCACAAAACAAGAAATTTTGAAAATAAATTGCACATGTAACTATATTCTTTAATTTTTTTTAATTTACAAAATTTTCTAAACTTAATTATTCAAAATTTTCTCTAATTTCCTAAGGAAAAGGAGTCTTTTCTATTACGGAATCCTTTGAGATTGATAGTATGTAAACCATTAGGCCCAAATGAAAAGCAGTTAACTCCCAAATCTCTCTTCATTTCGATAACACAAAGCAAGAATTGTAGCATAATGAAAAAAAATAAATAACTTTCCATGAATGCTGAACTACAGTTTTCACATCCTTCTGAGTTAATGCAGTTCTAAAGCAATCAATAGAGAATGCTTTCCCATCCATCCCACGTTCATGTCATTTGTAATAAAAGGCCATATTCCTAGAATCTTTTCTTCATAAGAAGGACTAACAGTATACTCAGGTACAAAGACCTGAAGGAATAAGAGCAGAGGGTACCTGTATCTGTGCCATGCAGCGACGCAGGAAGAGAAAGCTGACCCAACAACAAGGTGGGAGAAGTCAGCCTTTCCAATCCTGATCCCTCGGGTGTGTGAGAGGCTGTAAGACGGAAGGCAGAAATGAATTATCTCTGAGCGGTACCCTAGCTCAAAATCTTCTGCCCCACCTCTTGACCAAAGTGATAAAAAGAAATTGTATGATAAAAGCTGAGGTTGACGGGAAAGGAAAAATGGTCACGAGCTATATGTTCCTTCATTTCGACTAACCAACCACTTGGTACTCTTTGAAAAATAACATTCAAAATCTGTATTTGAGGACTGAGAAGATAAACAAACACAGCTTTGGGGAAAACAAAAACTAATATCTTTAACAAAGACTAGCATACTTAAAAGAAACAACTAGGAAAAACAAATGATTAAAATGTATATGTATAAATATTTATATACATACACATAAAAATATTATTACTAAATTCTTTGACTCTTACATAGCCTATTAGAAACTCTCTTACATGTTGGTATTTGAAAAAAAGATTATTTTTTTCCAGTTATGTTTATTGCAGATAAACGTATTTTAGAAATTATTTTAAAACACCCATAATTCCACTATAAAAATTTTGGTGTATCTTCTTTTAGTTTTTTATCCGTACATTACGTTTACTATCAAAGTTGGTTTCATTCCAACTATGTTCTAATAAATGCTTCTTCATTTAAAAATATTTATCTAAAATTTATCTAAAGCCATATATAGTTATTAACCATATGGATTATACCATAATTTATTTAGATAATCTCCTACCACTGGATATTTATGTTGTTCCCAATTTTTTGCTGGTATAAAAAATATTTGGCCTATACTTTTGAATATTTTCCTAGGTAAATTTTTTAAACATGAAATTACGGGGTCAAGGGATATAAACGATAAAAACCTTTGAAACATATTACTAAATGCCCTCCAGAAAAATGCTTCCCATTTATATTCCACTAGCTGTGTATGAAAATGTTTACTATTGATTTTTAAGAGACACTGGTGAATTATTCCTCTATTTGAGTTTTGTGTACGAATATTACTTCATAAAGATCTACAACCTTCCAGCTAAAAGAAATGTATTTCTACAACTCTTTCTATGAGCCAAAGCCTGCCAGAATACACCCAAATCTGTCGTTGAAGTTCACTTTCGTTTGATACAGGCCTTGTCATTCTTCTGACATACAGCTCTATGAAGCCAATTTAAATTGCTCTTCAAATCAGGTGAGAGTGGTTACTATGGAGTGTGGAGGAAGAGGAGTGAGGTGTGGAACAGAAGGGGAAATTGATTATTCGAGACAAACCCATCCAGATTTCACCAGCTTGGACCAAATTCCTTGCTTATTCTTTCCTTCTCTTATGACCTCTAGCCACAGCTAAACCATCCCACTTTAGAAGTCTTCCCCACTCCTCAGTTTGCTCCTGCCCCCACCTCTCTTCCCAACTACTTTACAGACACGGTCTACTGAGTGTTCTGACCACTAGTACCCAGTCTAGGTTATGCTGCCTGTTGTTTGCCCTCAACTGGCCTACTTGTCTCCCAATGCAGCCCTTAATCTCTGAATCACCACTGAGCTCTGCCGCTTGTCACCACGTGCAGGCAGGCCACTGAAATACCTCCCAGAGTCGAATTTAATTCAATAACATAAGCAAAGTTTCATGGGAGGAGTCTGCACACTTCAGGGACACCTGCTGCTGGGCATTTCTTTCTCTTAACTGTAATCTTGGATTGGCTTTGTCAATCTCAAAATAAAGAAAGATCCCCAGCCCTCTATCCCAATGCCAAAAATAAATAAAAGAAGCTCTGCTGAGAGAACATAGAGTGTAGGGGTGGGAGAAAGAGTAATGGTTGTCGAGAAGGCAGCAGAGAGAGACACCATCATTTATTGGAGGACCTACTGTGTGTATAACCATATTGAAACTTCTTAAAGCTGACAGCTATTATTATTGCCCTAATTTTGCAAATGGAGAAATTAGTATTAAGAGGTTAATTGACTTGCCAAAGGACACCTTATTGCTAATTCTTGACCCATGTTTAAAATCAAGCCTGACTGAATACACAGAGCACAAATGGACTATGGATTCAAAGGGCCTGGATTTCCAGCAAACCTCTGCCGCAAAGCATGAATTCTGGAACCAGGCAGATCTGGATTGAAATAGCAGCCCCAGCTCCTCTGTTTGACTTGAAGCAAGTCACCTCACTTCTCTAAACCTTGGATTCACCATAGCTAAATAGGGATAATATCTTTTAATTATTTAAATTAATATTAAATTAATTAATGTAATATTTAATATGAGATAGTTTATATAAAGTGCCTAACCAGACCTGGAAAATATATAGTAGGCACTCATTAAATGTTAAATATTATTATTTGAGGTGCAAGATTCAAATCCTTCCTAGCTGTAAAAATTTGAACAAGTCACTCTAAATCTTTAGCCTCATTTTCCTCACATGTTCAACATGAGTATAACTAACTTCATAGATTTGGAAGAATTCAATGAGATTATCTTTACGGATAGGATTTCTTAGACTTCAAAATAGGTAAATGTTCATTTTTCCACTCTCTTCCAAGGTAATATAAATAGTGGAAGAGCCAGGACTGCAACCCAACAATCCTGACACACTGAGCTAGGTTCTCTATCCTAACACGTCAGGTTTGGAGTGCAGATGCTTGGAGGAAAGTGTGTGTGTCTATGAGGTGGGAGGCCCACATTAGTACAATTTAGGAGCTGGAAACGTGTGGCAGCATACCACTACCTCTCTAGAAAAACCATTCTGTAACCTCAGCTCTGGTTATTTACATCTTGCAGCCCCGTGGAGATACTGGTAATGTTGAGCTTTCTTTCTGTTTTCATTTACACCCTTATAGTTGATGGAGGGTAGACAGTTCTCATGATGGGAGCTAGACAGGTACACAACACCTTTTTACACTTAGATAATTGTTTGTCTCCTCTATATAAGTTCCACAGGGTGAGTACCACGTCTGTCTGGTTCATTATCGTAACTGCAGCACATAGAAGAGAGATGATGCCTACATGTGCACCCCATGAACATGTTACAATTAAGAAAATTGACTATAAAAACCTAGATTTTTCAGTTTTAGAGAGAGGGAGAATGTGACAATGATTGGAAAGACAAATTGTACAGCTGTTCCCTCTAAGCTCTAGTTTCTTTTACACTAGGTTCTAAATTTCTGGAAAAGGTATATTTCTTCTTACATGAGAAGACAACCAGCATCAGAAGATAACAGCAGTAACTTCCAATGGGACTAACTGGAACTCCTAGCATGGCCCTTCAATCAAAGGACAAAACTGAAGCACCAAAGTTCATCTATCACAACCACAGTTAATAAAACAGAAAGAGGAGGAAATTGACAAATGTTTTCATGTTCTTGAACTTTGTCTTCCGAATTCACTTTTCTGCAAAACACACAAACACATATACAACACGAATATATAAAGCATTCAAATATTCACTTCCTGGATGCTTTGCTGCCAAGCCTCTTTTCATTTGGGAAACCACACATTTTACCCATTCCTTCCTGACAATATTAACTTGTCACCTAGAAGCTTAGCACACAGCTCTAGTCACACCTTCAAGCTTTCCGGTCACAACTTCAAACCTCAGCAGCTTCTCATTTTAAAGCAGCATGCTGTTCTTCCTGTCCTAAGCTGAAGTAAATGTCTGGAATAACCATGAGCTCCCAGAGAAACATGGTCTGCATCGCTCTATTGGGAGGAGTAATCTCACCTGGCCAGGTTCCCACCCCCATGGTTGTTTGTCCTAATGCCTAACCTTTACGCCACTGAGAGATATTTAATTTCCTGGCTCTTACAGTAAAAACCCAAAAGACGTGTTTGAGGTTTCCTGAACCCCTAATTTACCACCTCATTTGTCCTTTTGTCTTTACAAAAAAAGATGCTCTAATGCTTTAGAGTCAAAATCCTCTATATTGTACCATCTGGCCTCCAGAAGTCAGTCAAACAGTAACCAACCTTCCTCCAGTTTCTAAGTACCTAAATGAGAAGGCCCTCTCAGGAACTAAGTAAACATGAAAAAATAATGGCAAAAAATGATATCAGATTGCTATTTGAGCTCTGTGACATTAAGGGATAAAGTCTATTCACAGATTGAAAGGGAAAATAGATCTGTGAAGTAGTGCCATAATTAAGAATTTTGATTCTTCAATCAGTGTTCTCTCCACTGTATTACATGGTTCAGACTTTATGCCCACCCTCAAATCATTCATTTACCTTTGTGGTTTATTTTCATTAATTTTTTTAGATTTTCTATTCTAGCTCATTATCATATAATGCTAGGAAACGAGTTAGCAGAATAACCAATAAACTTAATGTCCATACAAAAACCTGTACATGGATGTTTATTGCAGCTATACTCATAATTGCCAAAATTTGAAAGCAACCAAGATGTCCTTTAGCAGGTGAATGGGTAAACTGTGGTATATCCAGGCAATGCAACATCATTCAGCACTAAAAAGAAATGAGCTATGAAGTCATGAAAAGACATGGAGAAAACTTTTGTGTATTACTAAGTGAAAGAAGTCCATCTGAAAAGGTTACATAACATGTGATCTCAAATATATGTCATTATAGAAAAGATAAAACTATGGAGACAAGAAAAAGATCAGCAGTCGCCACGGGTTGGGAGTAGGGAGAAATGAATAGGCAGAGCACAGAGGATTTTTAGGGTAGTGAAAATACTCTGTATGATACTATAATGATGGATACATGTCATTATACATTTGTGCAAACCCATAGAATGTCCACTAACAAGAGTGAACCCTAAGCTAAACTATGTACTTTGAGAGATTATTAGGTGTCAATGTTGGTTCAGCAATTGTAACAAATGTACCTCTTTGGTGGCACATGTTGATAATGGGGAAAGCTATGCATGTGTGTAGCTGGGGTATATGGGAAATCTCTGTACCTTCCTCTTCATTTTGTTGTAAACCTAAAACTGCTCTAAAACAAAGTCTTTAAAAAATTATCCCTTGGGGGTCCAGCCTGGTGGCATAACAGTTAAGATCACATGCTCCACTTCAACAAACCGAGGTTCACAGGTTCAGATCCTGGGCATGGACCTACACCGCTCATCAACACATGCAGTGGCAGCATCGCACATACAA